TTGAGAAGATAGATTATGAATATATCCTGAAAATCTACACAGTCTTTGTGTTAAAAATCAGTGAAAAGATGATGGCTAAACTCTTATGAACGGAGTAAATGTTTACAAACACACCAAATCGAAATAGAAGTTATTGAAGCAATCAGTTCCCTGTTACTCACTGTCACACTAACATATGAATACTACGGAGAGGTAGAATTGTAACATCAACGCTGATTTTATATCGCGCTTATTTCCCAGCCAAGACGAAACAGTAACTGCTGATCCGTCTAACCTAGTGATCGACTTCTTTTTGAAACAATGGTATCAGAAAACATGCAGTAATCTTAGCACCACTCAATTACATTGGTTGTTGACTGACTGACTGACTGATTTTCTACATTCCACTTTGAACAGAAATGAAGCAGTTAGAGTTGCCACACTCCATGTAGCACACAAAGCAAAAGAAGAGGGTAAAGAGAGGTTCAAAAGTGAGATAATAAACAGAAATGTTCGGCAAAATGAATAGTAGTTTGGAAGAACAATATAATTTTATTGGATATGATAAGTCACAGAGAGTAAATCCATCTGCGACATTGAGGACCTTAAACAGTCAGGAAGTCGACACCTCCTTACGTGGCTGGCTTAAACTAATTGTTGTGGATTTCAGTGATTGATGTCATGTTTACCACCACTGACTCTTTTCCAACCTGATTCTCTGTAAGCTAACATTACTCTTTAGAGAAAGGCGATGGCTAGGCATGGTAACACATATCCTAACCATCTCAATCAATGTAACTTCACAACCTCATCGCTTGTCAATCAATGTTCGGCAACTAATTTGCGGACACCATTTAGATGTACAAGAGAATAAATACGACCTGAATAACTTGGTAGTAACGAAGCCGACCAAAATAGTTATTCAGTATGTATGACTTAATTCTGAGATAACCAATGATCTGTAGTGACAATTGCAAAATAATACTCATACCAGCAAATTATTATACGACTTATCTGACTGAGAGTACGAATCAAACAGAGATCAATAAGTACACAACAAACGAGTATACAAAAAATTAACAAATGTTCGGTAAGTCAAGATTTTAGCTAAATGCATATTTATTCCACAATTCATAATCGGTTCAGAGGACAGGGAATGACACAACTAAGAACAGGTCGTTAATCACATACAGAGAATAAACGGTGAATTTATTGAGTCAAATAATCTATGAAAAATCCATTAGTTCCAATTTAAGTACTGCAGATTCAAATTTCCGGCAATTAACCAGCTTAAGATAGCAACTTTCCAACGGAAAGACTATGATTACTGCTCCAAATCAAGATGTATGAGGGGAATTATCCTAAAACTGTACAACGAATAGATTACCGAATAAACCCACACAGAAGGAAATAAATAGTCCCTCACAACAAATACAGACATGTGGGATACAAATAATTTAATAGACAGCAGCGCATATCGCTAGACAAAAATTCGCAATCTCATCAAATAACTTCGGTTGCTCAAATAGCAAGCAACAATACAGAGAATTATGGGGAATTCAACAATATGTTGATCAATAACAATCAGATGGGAAATAACAACACTCATATTACCACCAGTCAAATCAGAAGAGGATAATAAATAATCTCAAAATTCTATTTCAATTCAGGCAAATCACAACATCCTAACAAATTACTTCTTATAATTATAAGAACATTCGTCTTATTTCCCATCTAATTGTATTTGATCAATAACACTCATATTATTATCTCTGAATGTACATTATCTCATATTGATTTTGATTCAAATATCTAGTCAATTCCATACATACATATAAATGAAGGAAAAAGTTGTGTGAGTAACTTGATATGATTATGAGCAATAATTTGTCCTCGAAACGTCATCAGTTAATATTACTGTGTAACACTGTGTGATTTATCAAAATAAAATCTTATCCATAATGGAGTTATACTCTACCAGAGTGCCCAAGTTGTATACTTATATCAATTATGTCAAGGCGCACACATAACTTTCTGGCTTCATTCACATATACATGAGACTCTTATATGTAAATGAAGCCAGAAAGTTGTGTGAATGCCTTGATATGATTATGAGCAATAAATTGTGTTTGAAACGTCATCAGTAAATATTACTGTATAACACTGTGTGATTTTACCAAAATAAAATTTTATCTACGATGAAGAATCGGTTATCCATGTACCCAATAGGGTTTATGCGGGTTGTAAGGTAAATGAAGTACGCATAGTCTATTAGCCAACATCAGTTATATCTGAAATTATATTTCCCCGTTTATTCATAGTTTTCTTCAAATATTTTTTGACTGAGAGGATGGGGGTCATGTAACAAAAATCTTCGGGAAATGAAAGGATATTCAGATTCATATTGAACTAACAAACAGCAGCAGATTTAGTCATTCATCTAACATCCAAATATACCCAAAAAGATGAAATTATATATATATATATATATATATATATATATATATATATATATATACATATATATATATATATATGAAGAAATGAAGGACTACTTAAATTAAATTAAATACCAATTCGAACAGTTGAAATAAGACTGCTTCTTTTAGTTCAAGAGATAAATACGATTATAAGTGGACGAAGGACAAAGAAAGAGAGAGAAAGAATAAACAACTCAGTTTAAGAGAAAACAAACTTTAATTAGTGGGATCTTGGTGACAGTTTTCATTCAAGAAACAAAGCACATTTAAGTACATGTTAACGCTAAAATGACTCTGAACAGAAAAAAGCAGCAGTAAAAATGATGAACTTTAAGAACAACAGTATTCTTGAAAGACATAAAAACCAAGAAACGTACTTGAAAAGTGAGTGAACAGACTACATAAGCAAAGGGATGACTTCAAAGGATCAATACCGATAACTGCAGGAATATTCAAGGGAAAATGACAGTTCTTATAAGTGACTGACACTAACAAAGCACTGGTTACTTTGATTACTATGCGCTACGTCATATGATTTTGAAGATTAATAAGTTCGAAAATCAACAGAGTAGAAGTAAACAACATAACACAATTTACGATAGTACATAAAATGTCTACATACCTTTAAATCCCAATCGTACTTCTGCAGATACATCATGGCTAGAGCTCGATCAGTATTCGTTATTTCGGCGAATGCAATACATTTATCCAGATAGGTGTCTTTGCCATCCAGACTTCCTTCGGCGTTTTCCACATCCGTTAGTTTGTGGCTTGTAGACTGTTGGTACTTCTTCATTTTTTATAACCTAAAACATCGAAATAAGTTCAACTACTTCTATAAATTCAACTTCCCCCTGTTTTAAAGGGGCATTGTTCTGATGCACGGTAGCTTAATCTCCGGTAATAAAATTTAAACAAACGAAACTTTGCGGCTACACGACAGTCAATTTCATAATGAATATAAAAAATTTAAATAGCATCGTCAGAATGACCAGCAGATAATACGACAGAAGAGAAATAACTGTCTGTGGAGACCCCTTTTACATGCTGAACTTCATATTCAATTCAGACCAAGTATTGAGAAATTAAATGTCACTCATGAATCCTTCTATGACCCATCGCTTAATCATTTGAATGTTTACAAGTTACAAAGGCGAAAAAAAACCACCGACTGATCCGACTTTCTCAAGAAAACCTTATAGTAAAAGCCTACATTATGTATGAAAATTGAGTTTTAAAAGACAATGACGCACTCATGCATTTCAACAGTAAATAAGTAATTCAAGTCAGCATGCTGACTTATGTAACAAAACAATGACTTCTAAAATTGTCCTGGCATAAGCCCAAAGTTTCCCATAACATCATTCTAACAAATATATTTCGGCATCACTAAATAAAATCTGTAAATCTCAGAAGTGAATTGTTGAGTTCGAATGTGATGCAAACATGTTACCAAGTAATTGAATAGCATAGCCAAAAGTTTAAAGTAATGAAGTACAATAAGCTAGTGGTTTTTAAAAGCACGCCAAGATAATGGCAACAAACAATAACAGGGGTCTAACATAACTACACTTGGATGATATTATTACATGTTAAGACTAACATACTACTCACAGTCATACAGCTTGCCAATCAGGAGAATTTTTGTCAAATAAAGTAGTTTAATATTAACTGGAAATAAGCAGTATGTGCCGAAGATAATCAAGATTATCTATGCCGGGCGCATACGGTTGAGAATACACATAGTGTGTTATTTCTTTGTCCAGAGTACTAGTACATTTCGAAATTATGGGGTGCGGTGCTTGAGATTTAAGAGTTGGTACTCACCTATTTATTACACATTCATCAGGAGCCTCTGGAGGATTTAAAGCACACTGACACAAACTAATAAATTTCAGGAGTTATAAGTTGAAAATTAACACAAACAGCAGTCATTCCTAGCACTATATGCTACAAAAATGTACGAAAAGTAAAGATAATCGTAAGTAAAAATGAAATATATTGTTTTCTATCATTATTCTTATCACCATTGTTAAAAACAATTCACCAGTATAAAATGATTCTGTGATATGACAAAACATCACAGACGATTACAATTAAAATTATGTATGCATACGAATACATAGGATGAATTTTATCTTCAAGGTACGTTGTGTATATAAGGTTAAATTTTCAATACATTGACATGTGCAATAGGTGATAATGAATAAATAGAAAACAGAAGGGATGATAAAACCTTCAAGTTCGAAAATCAAAATAACTGCTGTGAAGATGACGCGTAAATCAAAGGAACACTTTGTGATGGAATAAAATAGACATGAATGTGAAATAAGTAAAAGAAATATGAAGATATAAATCTACGCATAGAATGCGATTAACAAAACATAAAAGAATTATTATTATTACTATTATTATTATTAATTATTAATATTATTATTAATTATTAATATTATTATTAATTATTATTATTACATAAAACGAAATCAGGAAGGACGTTAGAAAACCAGTGGTATATGGAAGGAAATAACCATTGAATAATGGAGTGATAACAACAACGTAGATAAGAAACAAATACCTGGTTTTTTGAGAGGAAAATATTTATAGGTAAAATAACAAATAGGAAAAAGAAGCATAGTGTAAAATAACAGAAACATAACAGTAAAATATAACGTACTCATTTTAAAAAGGGTCATGTTGGTATAACACTAAAAACTTCAATTACATATATAGAGCAAATAACACAAATCAACAGAAATCATACAACTTCCAAACAAAAAGTGATCTCAACACATTTTTCAATGAAGTTATTCATTTCGCCATCAAAGAATACAGAAACTGCAAAATGGGAGCAAAATTAATTGTACACAGATACATGAAAATGTTACCTACACATAACAACCGACGATGTGTATAGACTTAGGAATACACTTAACCGGAAAACTTCGATGTTAGAAATAAAGTAGGAATTCAGAGATACACATTTACATATGTGTGAGAATAAAAATCAACAAAAGTGAGAGATTAAAAAGCAGAGGATGAAATGGATTAGGAAATTAGAAGTAAACACCAGAAACAGCTCAACTAGGTATTCTTCACTCTTTTGAATTAATCATACATTTTTCGAGTAAGCACAGGCTTAGTAAACCGAAGGAAAAAGGAAGAAAATAAACATACTACTGCCTGTTTCCTATTACTGATCACTTATGCCGATCAAAAATTCGTCCACGAAATTTGACGTTTTGTTTATTTGTGTGTGAATTAGTAGTGTCGTTTGATTCATCCGAGGAATTGAGAATTTCGCACGATGGTATATCAGAGATTTCAATACATTCAAAATTATTGGTAAGTAGATTGTCCCTTAGATCTGTGGCATTTCTGTTGTCCGTGAGGTTGGGAGTTGTACGGGCAGATGAAGAACAGCGAGATAATGATGCTGAAGTCACTTCATTTAGATTATTCTCTGATGTAGAAGATGATTCGATTAGCGGACGACGACGACCTTTAAATACTCTTCGTACATCAGCATCATAATGAACATAGCAATTGGCCAAATCCGGAAGCTGACCCAACATTCCTTCGTATAAGTATTCTGTAGTAAAAAAAAGATCGATGATATGTTACAGAAGAAATCGAAACATTGTAGAAATTCATTTACTCCAGGTAAACTCTAAGCATAAAATAAATGAAATATTTAGGAAATAAATAACTATTGATGATTTTATGAATGTTCTGGCTGCGGATAATTATTGAGCCTAGGTGAGATACTTTAATATATACTTATCAAGAAATCTGACTATCATAAAGTACAGAATCATCGAAATTGCTTCATCAATTACAAATACTGATTAACTAGCAAACGCAGACATCAGAAAATGGAACAGATGAGATACTGCAAGAGATATTGAAAACCAAACAACGAAGTTGAATATAAACGTTATAAACGAGCATGAGCATACTGAAAAATATTAACTACGAATCGATTAAAAGATTATTATTTTCACTGAATTTGAGCCATAATTTAACGGTAAAGATTTTAAACTCTATGTATCTTAAAAGCGGAAGAACAAATGTCAGGAATACTACTTGACAACCAAACGTCCTTCAAAGGGTTATAGATTTCCGTAAAACCATAGTGAAGACGAGACAAACAGTAAACATCCCACTAGGAGAAATTTCATTCAAAGATAAAAGACTGATAAATTATGGGACATCAAAGAAACGTGAGTTATGATTTCTTAGATTCAGCATTTCCCTAAAAGAAATGAGAATGGCCAACAATTAACGATTGATACTTCTACTAGCACGCCTTACGTATACCTGATAATATTCCGGATACCATTATGCACAAACAGAATGTGAACATTAAACACACGATGACCAACTATCTAAGGTGTTTCATCAATTATCTCCATATAGAATGATACAGACGAATTTACTTCCATTATATAAATGTTTGCTGCAAATTTTTCGACGCATAAATGCGCTGGTAACACAATACACTTGTATTTATAGTTATGAATAACAATAGAAGTATATTGAGTGTACAACTACAAAACAATTCCATCTACACCATTACAGTTAATCAAGATCTCTAAAAAGGTGACCGAAGAGATATAACCATGAAGCAGACATTGTAGAAGGTGAAAAGAACATTATATTACTTACGTCCACTAACCCCATCACCATTAGACTTCTCATGAGAAGTCGATAATGCGGAATCACGTATCTGATAAGCATGATCAAGTATACGTTGAACTGTATCATGATTCTTAATGTCAAATGCAAACTTTAATAATTCTGCAGCATCAGTTTTACTGATTTCCCATTCTTGAAGTTCATTTTTGCCAGTTACATTAACAGGACTGTAAACCTGAAACATATGTAGATGTATACAAAATGTGTACAATTTACAAGATAAAGATTCGAAACAATGTAAATTAAGGTGACTGAAAGATAGAAGGACTAAACATCAGAGAATGTCAACATCTAACGAGAGTGATCTAATAAAGCAATAATATTAATAATAATCTTGTTTCATACACTGAAAGTCTTCAAATTAGTAATAAGAAGACTGACAGCCTGATCTCGATGGATGATTACTATCTTCAGGTGGTGAATAGGTCTAAATATTTCAATCTCTTATCGAGCTAAATTAGATGGAACAAGAAGTGATGCAGATTCTAACCTGTCGGTAAGGTCGATTGGACAGAGACTAGGTTAAAAGCAGTTACTATGATAAGGCAAGTTGGTTACTCTGTAGATGGAGTTAAAGGGCACTGTTAAGGGACAGAGGTGTAACAGCAGTAAATTGTCTAGCGACGACCCACTTCTATCTTATTACATACATCCCGCTAATATTATTTCTCTGCAATCTACAAAACCACTTTACTAACTTCAGACTGGAAACCTTGAAATGCAGTTAGTCACTTAATCTCATTTGGACAATAAAATAAACTTCTTTTGCTAGTTCCCATAGACTTGGCAGTGTAAAGGTAGAATTCGGCTCCAAACAAGAAAACTCAATAGTCGATTGAATCACAGTGGACAGTCCTGTGTGTGGCTGTTCAGCTGAATGGATCCCTTAGAGTACTTAAAGATACAAATGGATGCTGTTCCATAATCTAGACTTCCATACCCAATGGCTGAATTTCGGACGAGTGAAATTACCGATCGACCTTCCTGCAAAAAGCAAAACGATTAGGTGCATTATCTTAGCAAGTGATTTTAGTGACTAAATAGGGAAATCGAGTCAGCCCGAAAAGTATTTATAATGTTCCATGCCGATGACACGGCAACTATGTCCAGATAAAGACTTGTTTTCGCTAGTACTTCATTCAAACACAAAGAGAAATGTTGATACACTTGGAAAAACACGGGTATCAAACCAATGATGGACACAAATAGCCGTAAGTTACAGATGGAAAGAATTGGTGGTGGCTGGATGTACTTACATTCCCCAAAGTTCAAATTGAATTAAATAATAACTGATACCCGTTGCACATGAGGTGACCCTCTTTTCACAGGTGGTCTTATGGATAACGCTTTGACGTTTGAAACTATGGGTACTGGGTTCGAGCCTCAGTGAAAACGCCAACATCAACTGGAGAATGTAGATATATCCAACTGACGAGTAGTCCAAAATAGGGAGAAATGCGCACCCTGGATTCCACTACTAGCCACAATCTACCAATTTACTTCAAGTTATATAAGCAGACACCGAAGCATCTGCACAAAGAGGTGACAGGCCAACCTGATGCTGAGCATTTGCATCCAATCAATCAACGGGAAAGTTTGAATTGATTTTAAAAACTAATTGGTGGTTAGAGACATTTGTGACAATCTTCTAAATAACTCAAAATAGTGTGGATGTATTGAATGCTTGTAAACATCTAGATTATAAAAATCCTCATTAATTATTTTCTCTAATACACCATCATTGTGACTTGAGTACAGTTCTCTTTTCTTTGTGTGCTTATCAAAGGTGTGGTAACCAGTAAAAACGAAGTTAATGCGTTCCCCTTGAAACCGCCTAGTGTTCGTTGGTCAAAATTTGCCAGTAGTAATAAAAAGTGGTTCACATGAGGCATCGCTTACAAAATTGTACGCAGTGGTTAAAAAGTCACTCACTGCGCTATCGCTCAATAAAGTCTTTTTAACTAAACACTAGCAGAAATTTGAAACTCAGCTAGTCTTATTCAATTCACTCAGCAACATAACAGAATTCTGTTTAAGGAAGCGGAGAAAAAGCGTAAAGATGTATCATTCAGGAGACTGAATTTACATACAGAGCAAAACAGGAAAAAAAGGTGTTTGGAGTCATGTTTGAAATAGTCTGTGACGAACAAATCGGGATATTATAACCAAAATTCCTGAAATTTGAATTTCGACATAATTAAACCATCACTGTTTCACAATAGCTAAACACGGTCCAAATTAGGCAACAAAATGTGAAGCGTTGAGACGAATAGAACGATTTATAAGTTAAAAAGTGAAAATTATGCACAGAAAACCACGCATGAATCTGAAGAAAGCTAAAAATATTTGAAGTTCACTCATAGATACCCCCTTCGTGAACGGACTTCCAATTCAAAAATCTAACTGAATAGCTGTTACATAGCGAAGTAAGAGATAAAGCTCAGCTGTTTTCATGAATATTAGACTCACCAATTTCATTTAGCCACCGAAAACCATAGAGATCATTACAATATATCCTACAACAGTACAAATAACACTAAACTTAGTTAATGATTATGGCACTTCTATACGCTAAATGTGTAGCAGCCCGTTGTGTTCGCATAAGTAAAGTGAATAGAAAAGTCCGTACTCTAACTTCTAAGGGGACCGACATGAAAAAGTCAGTATTCCTTATTGAAGTTTTGTTCCATTACTGCCTTCATTATAGTTACAAAGAAAATATCACTGATTAAATATCAAATTTAGGAGTGAGAGCCACAGAGTATACATTACCTTTGAAGAGTAGTGAAAAGCTTGGCTTGGAGAAGCAGTAAACAGTAGCATACATCCATGAATCATACACATGCGAAAATTGACAGTATTTGACAGCTGGAAAGTAAAAAAAATAGCGACATGGTAATAAGACGCAGAAAAATTCACATTAACTGTCACTGTCTTTTAAAAATTTCAATTTTAGTTTGGATTCATTTCAAGAGACCAAATATGCTATTACATGAATGCACTCATATCATCTGAGAGATGAAAAAATCTGAGGAAGTAATAAGTTAGATGGCTGATGTTCGAACGGGAACTAAGAGTAGAGAGAGATATAAAAGTAGAAAATTATTCCCAGCCACGCACACAGTGAGAGGTATACTGTCTTTGTTTGTGGGATGATAACTTTTACTATACCACGAACCTTGATACATTCAGTGGACGTTGGCAAATTGCGGAATGCTAAAAAAGTTAGTTCGAGCTTAATATGAAACTATGATGCCGGGTTGTAGACAGCCACAAGGTGCAGAGCGGTGTCTAGTTTTCCAAGCCAATCCCTCCTAACCCATCACCACCACAACATGAAAAGCAGTAAAGCTTTTCCTCCAAAAACTTGCTGATGTCCCATCTCCACCCACTAGCTGCCTAGTAATGTATGCAACTAACCCTGTGTTAATATCGGCTTTTGGTCTATCAGTCTTACTTATTTCCAGTCGACTATTGTTGGAAGAAAGGACTCCTAGTGATAACCACCTAGACGGGCTCGTAAAATCGTACATACGTTCTCGACTACCATATCAAAATGCCAGTTGTCAACCGAGCTACCGTTGCCTGCGTCGGGTTGGACCGAACTTTGCATCTACTTTTTCATGTATCACTAGTTTTCTTGATTGTGTGATGTCTAATCATTTTAACTAAGTCGAATGCAGTTAACTTACAGCGAAGTAAGACTGGAATTACTGCAGTGACTACTTAGCATTAAAATTGGGATGACAACATCTGATGAGCATAAATTATTACCAACCCGTTAAATTTAAATATCCAAATTTTACCGGAGGGTTTTTCGACACCATTCCGTTTACCGTCTACAAATATCTCTGTAAATGACTAGTCTCCCACTGGGCATACCCTTCGCTTCTGAGAGAATAATTAAATTTTAACTATAAACACAGTTTCACAACCATATCATGTTCTTTTTTCAGTTGAGGGTAGTTAAGCAATTAGCAAAGACCATAATTATTTCTTCGTCAGCGCCTTCAATTTTGAGCCAAAACTTAGTATAATGCAGTTCGTGAAGGGATAACTTACACTGCAAACAATATTACACTTCATGAAACGTGGAGGACAGTCATTATAGTGAATGACCTAAAATATTGGGATTTTTGTAGGTGTTTAAAGGGAGGAAAAGCAAATCAGTTAAAAATTATATGAAAACAAATTAACGCACTTCCTTGCCACAAACTAATCTATCTTTAACTGATTAAAAATGCCCATTAAAATTTTTCAAAAGAATGGATAATGAACGAAGAGTACTATTTTCGATAACTTCATCATCAGGCCCTACAGTTATATATACATTATAGTGAATGAATGAATTAGTGTTATGAACAACATTAATGTTAAAATAACATCGAATCAATAATATTGATCTATCTTTACTCACCGGTTCACTATAGTGCTTAGAAACCAAATTGATTAGGTACATGGCCTTCGAATTAGGTCGACTAGTTGGGAACAGTGTCTCAATAAATTCTGAACGCGATAGGTATGGCTTGTTACGGCATATATCCAGCATACTGTTTAGACGTGCTTGAAACCAGTCAGATTGCTGATCTTCTTCTGACGTAGCGTCACGATTAAGTTCCAGAGAGCTAAGAGTTAAAGAAATATAAGTATTCCGATTATTGTTTTAAGCAGTTTACTTGTTTTAGAGTGCCTACACTAGACAACACCATTCAAATGATAAACCACAGTTCAAGAGCTTTGACGGATTAGATTAAACTGATTCGAAGAATTTATACCCAGTATCAATAAAATCAAAAAATAATTATGAATGAGATAAAATTTACGCACAAAATTGCAAAGCTATCAAAGCATCTAAGAACTGACACCTACAACCCTTACCATGTTTCAAAGTTCATTTTGAATGATAGCACATCTTACCTTCTAGTTTCCTCCGACTGGTATGCTTGTCGTAAATGACTACACAGTCCTTTACTTTTTTAGATTAACTTGGCTTTTCATTACATTAATACAGAAACATCAAGTTTTTCAGATGACACGCATCTTAAAATAACCTAGTCCATATCAATTAATTATTGGTATTATTAAATGGATAATTTATCTTTGACGTTGAATTCATTCAGTTACATCAGTTTACTAATGAGACATGCTTTGACGAAAAGTAACAAAGATCAAAATAACTCTGTTAAAACAGTACTTTTATGTCTTATGTTCATGTATGCATTTATTTGTATACTGTGGCTGCTTAAACAGTACTACACGATGTGATCAGTCTCAAGAGGTTGAGACATCTTATCAAACTTTACACACAACATTAAGGATTCAGGTCCCAACGGAGCACTTTCGCAATTAGCACTTATAAATATTCCACATAAATTAAGTAATGCAGGGAAAGTACAATTGAAATCACTATGTTACGCCAATGTAGCGATATAGTTATTAAGTACTAATAAATTATCACGAAACCTGATTATCCAGCTACCATAACATGCAATAGATGCAACTAATATTGTCTCTGAAACTACAATTCATATACAGAACGAAGACATTTGATACAAAAGTCTTGAATACGAAGTAAACGTCAATCATGGTATAAAATGTATGTATGTGTTATGGATTGTACTGCTTCACTAAAAGTAAATACTTTGTTTATTTACTTACTATGGAGAATAACAAGAAACTTTGAATTAATTTGAAAACAGAAGATGGACAACCCTATGGTAAAAACGACCACTTATAATGCGAAAAGAACATGAAAACGTTAGTAACAAAAGCCACTTACAACATCATTTGAAGTAATGAATTTAAATACACAACAGCTTCAGGGGTCGGCAGTTTGTATCTGCATGCAATCCTGATTTGACAAAAATCGTCATACGACAAATCACACAATGGAACGTTCAAGTATCTAATTGTAAAACAAGAAAAACACGGTTCTTATTAATTTTGAGAGCTAGAAAAAGTTACTGAACAATACAAAGGCTTACTTAAAGCTGTAATCGTTCCCATTTGTAGAGCTTAAGTAGACATTCCATTCAATATGTCGAAGGATTAAGTACCATGTCGTCATCCGTAGTTAATCGGAGCCCATCCTACCAAACTGGTGTCTTTTTTCAAGCAGGTGAGTGTTCTAATTAAACTCTTAAAAAACTTTGGTTTAAATAAGTCGGCATCTAATTTCGATCAGTGTTCGACGTGTTAATTCATTCTGTTGATTCTATTTAGTGAATGTACTTCTCTTTTGAACTTTTCAAAATAGTCTTTTTTGGAAAGCAATCCAAAATAAATTCTCTTTGTCTATGTTGAATAACTGCAGCTTAACATCAGAAGTTATTTGATTCGAATCATATGATCTCTAGTTCTCAGTTCTTATTGGGACATTTCTATTGTTATCGGATCGAGAAATGTAATCAGCACTTGCATCATTACTCCAAGTGAATACATAACACGGGAATCAGTAGATCCCAGCATTACATTGAATTGCAATTTCATAGACGAAACGTTTTGTGATTTCGCACAATGAGTTTATAATATGATGATGCAGTCGGTATTTCATTTCGCAAGTCGCGTTTCTTACCTGATTGTTAGATTTATTATTCTACATAAAAAAAATTGTCCCGAATACGAGTACACAGTTTATGTGGCTTTTCACCGGCTCCAGTATTTTATTTCTTTGATAAAGCACACAGCGATGGAATACGATTCACAACAAAGTGTTCAACAAATGAATCCAATTTTTCGTAATACCTAATGTCTTCCTTCTTTGTCTACGATGGTAGCAGAATCTACAAATATATACTATGGGAGTTGAATCATTGCGTTTACATGTATTTAGTGTAGATTCAACAAAAAAGACCCATGAATCAAACTCACTCTTTCCCTAACTTGATTGGGTTTTAAAACTTCCGAGCTATCCCATCCTAGTGTGCTTGTGGATCATTGTATGCATCGCAATAAATTAGCTTCTTCCCAGATTATTTATTTCACGGGAATCTACCAACTACTTTTACCAATTTACTTGATTACAGAGTCACTAAACAGTATTTGGTATATTACTGTAGGTCTGAGTACCATTCTTATCTTAGCACTGTTAGGAATCCTAAAAGGTATTTTTGATAACTCCTTTATATATGGCAGCACTGCAAAGACTTTAAACTCTTAATTACATGAAAGCAAAATGAGTCAGCAATTGTCGAACACATTTTCAAATTCTGTAAGCAATAAAAAAAAGAAGTGAATAACTACAGAAACTGAAGTTAAGAGTTGTGGTTATTTCCTTATGTTCTTGAGCATAGATAGTGCACAAAACGTTATCTAGTAAATAATACTGAATCACTGTGTGCCTTAACAAATAAACAAGCTAATATGAAACTACCCTCTGTTACAGTACCCAAATTTCACTTTGCGTCGTGTCATGCTGGTTGCATCTTCTCAGTAGACATTGGGTTGTACGAGTGTTAATCGTCTTGGTCTTGCATTACAGTGAATTTCCATTATGCAGAACAATTTTACAACCTAACTTTTCAGTCACGTTACATTAGATAAACACTGTTAAGATTATATATGAGTTTGTTGGTAATGAGTAAAATATACCACCGTTGTACTGGACAGTCGAGCATCAAGTATAAACACAACCCATTTCAAAAATCTACACATAAGTACATTCATGTTACTGTGAGTTAAGTTCAGTGTGTGAGAAAGGTGTCTACTATTCGAACTAGAATAAATGGGATCGGACTCCAACCCCAAACCGAATGTTACAGTGTCCAAGAACAAGAAACGCACCCTCACAAGCTGAGTAATCCTATTAGCACAACAAATCCTCGATGATGTACCTAAACATGAAACTTATAAAACCACAAACCCCTATAGGTTACTAAAGTTCAAATGATCTACAAACTTGGACAGAGTAACTACAAATAAAATGAATAGAACATATATATATATATATATATAAATTAGAAGGGCAAGTACCCTTATACAAGTATAAACTTGTATTGAGAAACGAGGCTACTATACTTACCCAGCCATTATGCGGCGTATGTTATCAGCATACAGTTGGGCGTCTAACTGTTCATCTTCGTTTGGTTGATAAACAGGTAAAAACTAATGTTGGAGTTTAATACAAAAAGGAAAAATTTTTACTGCAAATATCAAAGTATATAACCTACATGAAGAAGTATCCGATTAACTAGTCTAATTTAGCACATCAGTCAGTAAAATATTATTCTGAGATCAAACTGACTCAAACACAATTAGTTTTCAAGATGAAAACTTTTATATCAGACGAGGAAAGTAACGGTAGAAACTAAATTTTGCACAAACACCGCACCTCCCAGATCTCCTCAACGAGAAATGGTCTATAGATAAATTATTTTATATAGAAGACAAAAACACCAGTATTCATATTTACATCATACATCTGCATAGGCATACTATCACATTCAACATTTATCCAAATATCACTGGAAACCTTTTGAACAGCTTGCCACTATATATGAAAACTATTAGTCATCTTTAATAATACTAGTGGACGCTATGTTTTAATGCGTTACACCTATTCCTGAAAAGTAATAAATACGACAGTGATCAGGGAGGATTGATATTGACACAGACGGGTAACAACGAGAAAAAAAAGGATAAATTTGCATGGATTACCGTCAGGAAAATAAAAGTAAGGCAAGTTGAATAATACTACGACAATAATAATTAACAATTATTTACGAGAACAGATAATGACGACAGTTATGAAACAGAGTACATGAATTACAACAGACAAGCAGTAATTATCATGAAGTGATTATAATAAGTGGCGATTGATTACAACCACTTCAACAATCAAAACATCATACTGCTACAAACTGCCGATGACATGTCAGAGTTTCGCTGGTTCCTAACTTTCTGTTTCAACAAACCTGATCACAGTGTCTTACAGTCAGTTAATGCCAATTCACTTAAGTGAAAATCTGGAAGAAAATTCAAGCACATGAGCGCATTAAGACACCTAGCCAGACTGACTGACTTATCCCCAGAATTTTCTCAACACGGTTGTGGAATTTTAGTCCTGAAACTGACTAGATTATTTGGTTAAGTTTGAAAAATATAACATCAATAGGAAATGAGTCTGCCATTTTGTCTATTTTTAAAAACGGTCTATGAAATATACGTATTTTAGATAAAGCAATAAGAAGACGTAATTTGTCTGAATCGTGTAATGTATTTGCGCAACACATTTCAAACAATCCGATCACACACATACGTATTTTAGCTCACCATTTAGTTACGTCAAAAATGGTGACTGTAGTCGTGCCTCGGAGACTTAGTAAAATCTACTATTTAGAAATTTCTAGAAGTGAATTCTTTGCCTACAAATCATTTGCTTTGAAGAAATGTGTTGCGAGTTTAATGAAATGCCACCGTGGAAACAGCAAAAAATGACATCCCCTGCTGTTTGACAGTTAAATTTACCAGAATATTCGAAATGCAAATAGACTTACTTCTATTTCCAATCTGTTGTAAAACTGAGTCATCGTCAGCCACAATAACTTCAACCTAAACAACAGAGACAAATTAATTGCAAGACACGTATAAGAATGGAACATTATTTCTAAAATAGGAAATTTACATCTAAAAATAAAAATTTAAGGAGACAAAAAAAATTGAGGAAACTACACTTGCAAGCTTCACTATGAAAGCGAAGGACATCCGATGACTGAAACCATTTTGACATAGGTAACCAATATTTTATGATTGAGACAAACAACAACCAGCAATCCGTATGCATGCATCAATAACAGTAAGGAAATTAAGACAATAAACAGGTGCACATTAGTGCATAATAAGACTCTGTAGGTTCAGTAACCTGTTAAGACTTGCAGAATGTAAAATATCTGCATGAATGAACGTTTACCCTACTGATTATCCCTATGAATACTTACTCAATAAACTACAAGTCGCAACTAAATTAACCAACGGATAGCTACTACATTGATGTGACGGTCGAAGTTGCATATCGCAATAATCCAACGATCTACACTTGCTGGGATGAATGTTCCTGAAAGTTCATAAGATAGCAATCAGACAAACGCAGTTACCATCCTAATGTAAGTCGCCCATACTATGTTGAGGGTGTGAAAGTCGAACTGCTGACGAGAAGGGATGTGACAGCAACAAGGTGTTCCTTTCAAAAAGTCACCAAGCTAGCTATACCTCCTCTCTACTGTGACAAACGGGGGTCGTCAAAGGTCACCCATAAAATTTTTACATACCAACCTACATTGCTGCGATTTGTAGTAGGAGGCAAAACCTTCACACAGACAACTCCAGAAACCACTTCTAACGTGCCATGTAAGGCCGACTTCAAGCTGTTGCCTTATGCGCTCCCGAATTACCCAACTCTATCGCTCCTTATGTTACAGGCATTTCAAGAGAAAATCAACTCCAGGATCGGCTGCAGGGAAGTAAAGACTACACAACACCTCTACAGGCATACAAAACTTTCCTGATCACTACGCTCTTTAACCTTAACCACTAACTGGATACTGGAATAACCAACGTCAAGACCCAAATATAACAACTGGTCTCACTAGTCAGAACTATGGCATCTTGAGCCAAGGATGTATGTTGTGTTTCGAAGACGTACAAAAGACCCAAGTTTGATTTTCCACTTGAACCCATCTCATAAACATGATGAGTCTACAAAGTTCACTTCATAAATATCGAGATATTCTTCACCATGATTGTAAGCTTGCAGGTGTAGGAATAGAGTTGAGTGCAAGGGCAGAAAAATCCCTACTTGACTGGATCCCAATGGACAGAAGTATATGTGCTGTCCGGCTGAGCGGATCCGTATTAAGTAAATACTGCGACACTCATTGACGTCTTTTTATAACCTCCGCAACTTCTTAACTAACTGCAGTCCGGACGAGGCTTATCAAAAACTGTCTAGTCTGTTACAGTTATCGATCAAAAAGTGTGTGTGGCTCTTCCTTTCTTTCTTTACGGCTTCAACACATACCGTTGAAAGTGGAAGACATGAAGTATAACTTTATTTGATGACACGGCGTTTTATATCCCGTGTTAAGCGGTACATAGTGATACAGAGGTTAGGCGTCTAGTGTGAGGTAAAGAGGGTAAGTCAGTTGATCAGACTGTAAACCTGTATCAGTTGAAATGGCTACGAAACGCGCCAAGCCATGGCTTTCTTCTATTTGCAACGTTGGGAAAGAGTCGGGGGTGATTAGTTCAAAGCATGACATCAATCCATAGAATCTGACTGCTGCTCTGAGTCATGTGTGAGACGTAGACTACCTAGTTGGGGTCCTAGAGATGCTAAGAACAAATGCCTGGTGACTGTTGGTGACATGGCCTGAAACTGCTGACAATGGTTCAGATGCATTTTTTTGTAATCGTCCATATCCATTACATTCTCAATACTCTTTATGTCCTTTCCTTCTCCATATGTTTCCGTTCATCATAGCTTTTTTGTATTTTTCCACATTTATCTGCTTCATGAAGGGTGATAGCTTGAACTACTGCATTTTTGAGCAAAGTTTTACGCTGCAGTTCTATTTAGAGTATCAGCATCTAAACTAAAGGCTGCCTCCAAAGTCTCAGGATGGTTGGGGGTGGGTGCCTTGCGCTGTGGGTTGGCCACCCATCCGCACACCTCTTGAAATGCTCCCACATGACCGGGCGTCTTACATAACCTCTCCTGAGGAAGTCCTACTCACTGCCTTCACGTGGCGGAGGTGTTTTTCACCAAAGTGAGAGGGCGAAAGCAGATGCCCGGCGCTCTTCACCGGGTTGACTGTCCATTGGATGACAGTCTAGGGGAGATGGCTAAACCCTGATTCCAAACCTCCAACGACTGGCGTATGAAGCTCACTGGAGCTCACCGGCAGACGTATGGACAAAGGGCTTGTTGGATGTCCTGGATGTCTGGCCCCATTCAAAAAGGCGTATGAACCGAACTCCCGTCACCGGCTGCCAATGGATAGTGGACTCCCTACTCCACTCCTACTGCCTTGTAGGTCACACTTGGTTGTGTAAAGGCTAGAGCTGCACTCTCAAACAAAAGGCCGAGCGATTCTGGGGACATCACTCGTACCAAATTCCCATGAAACTTCATGAACTCGTTTACAAACGGCAGCGATGATTCGAGATGTTCATGAAGCCGGCTCATCCTCCCGTAGGAGATAGCCGAAGTAAAGTAAGTAAGTGTCGGTCTATACATGTATTATGGTGAAAATGGGGACTGATTCCAAACGATAACTTAAGAACAACCATTCATTCCGCAACATTCAGTGTAAAACCTGAACAACCTTAATTTTTCAACAAGGCTTTCATAATTATAGTCGCAGAAAATCAGTATTCAACAATTTACTGCAAGGAATATTTTCTTGCATGAAACAGTGAATCCTAATGTTCACTATTTGGGTTTTCACTACCATATTCAGTAGATATAAAGACAAGACTAAGTTGGTAAGAAATCGTTGATGAGATATATCATGTCAGTTTCACTATTTAGATAGCTTTAGACAATGACAAAAAATTAAGGGGCAGGATATGGAAAATTTGTCTACTGAGTGCACATATCCTGTCCATCCCATATATCATTGTTACCATAAAAACTATACAAACTATTTGCCATTCAGTAAAAAATACACTACCTATGTAAAATTATCAGCTGATAAATAAACTACACGACTTTTAAAACCTAGTGTTTTCATTTGAACATCTCCCTACCTTTAGACTAAGTCACATCCCCGCTAAATAATGTTTTTATCCCTTTACGTCCCCAGTGGAACATCGGGCTTCAAGCTAGAGCTTTGAGGCTTCATTAGCAGTGGTATTTATTTTTACGGATGGGGTTGCTAGCGTCATGCTCAACCGCCCCTTATTACCAGTCTTATCCCCGGCTTAGCGAGGTAAAGGAGTGTGTCGGCCAGGGATCGAACTCCGGACCAACCAGCAACCAAAAGTTGCTGCTGTTCACGTAGAAATCAGTATAGATTGAGTAAGGCTTACAGGTAAAGAATTAATAAAATCATTCATAAGTTGGTAATCAGAAACCCACAGTCATTAGTGAAAGGAGTGAAACAATCACCTCGGTGGACACTGTTACAAATATGTGGTACAGTGTGAAACAGCGATAACATAATATTATGAGCTGGTACTGAGATGAAAAAACTGGACAAAATATGACCAAAACATATAATAGTCACACTTTATACGATAACAATGAAAACAAAGTAACTTACACACTGGGACCTTCACAAACCCACGTCACACTATCCTAAAACATAAAAAAATGAATGTGTGAAGGTCTCCTTATATACAACCAAATTTTAAAAAATTTGACGTTTTACCTAGAAATTCAGCTTAATTTAGTGCAAAGCGATAAAAAAGTGGAGCGATTTCGCCATCACTAAATGAACAGTGGTAATAATAATTTGCTCTATTCCAGAAACAGTACTACTAAGTTTTATTGTCATAGTAGACATCGTTATGTAATAGGGCAAAGTTGCTGCCATATTGTATATCTGAAAACTGTTAAACCAAGTTCAGTATGACATACCAAAATCCTGGTATACACTTGCATATGCCCATATATTTTTGATCGGGAATTCACTTTACAAAAGAGGAGGGTCATATCACAGTAACTGTCGGAAGTGAATGTTAATTGTATGAGTAAAAAGGTGGGAATGCTGAAAGTTTTAAGTAGTGAATACAAACTTTCAAAAATACGAAAAGTTTATGACTTCAACTATCGACCAAACTAAGCTTTTCAAACATAACACAGCAGGATTCTCCTCCTTTCATGATGCCATTGCGTGGGTTAACAACCCTTCGCACGGTATCAAGACAACTTATAAATATCTGATGCCGCGTTCACATACTGCTTCACCGACTTTGGACTTGGTAAATCCACAATGAGTTCCTAGACATCAGATGTGCAACATTCATGTTAATTAGTAAGGATTCTTGTGACCAGTGAGGTCCAACCAGATGTCACGTGTGAGGATGGATGTCCCACCAACGAAATTGGTTGGCGTCGCGCTAAATCATGAATTGGTAGAAGTTAGAATTCAGGAGCCAATGAATCGGGTCCCAGTGGCTGAATGGTATACGAGCTTGCCTTGTAACCGGAAGGTCCTGGGTTCGAACCTCAGAGATTGTGTACTGGTGATGATTACCAAACTAGGATGAAACAGCAGCTGTCCAGTACTTCCTGGTTTTCAATGGTTCTCTAACTGATAACAATCCGTGATCAACTCGTAATAACAGTAGTACATCTCAAAGCTGCTTTTACTCCCTCAAATACATGTCTTTCAATACTCTTGTCTAAATGAACCTTGAACACATCTAGAGATCTTATTTAGAAATTGTACGGAACCATCGGAGCCACCAATAAATTAGTTATTTGTGTTCTGTAGATAAATATTTCTCCAGGAAAATTTTCTCCTGTAAATCTGTCAACAGAACCAATCACATAAATAACAGAACCTACTTTGGACAGGAAGGCAGATCCAAGATATCACAGCTTTATCAACACTGAACAGTCAATCGATACTCCTGAATTCAAGACCACTATGTCTCAAGTTAAATATTCCTTCACCTAATTAAAGCGATATGTATCTTCGTCTAAGGATTCGCTCATTTTTTTGGCTTTCAGTACACCCTCAAAGACGGTATCAAGGAAAACATTAAACCTAGTCCAAACCAACAGAAGTATGGAGGTGATCATGGTAAGTATCGAATGTAACAATAGGACAGGGAGAAATAAAAGTAGGCAGGACACCTTGAAAATAATGCCGAAATTCTCGTTTCTCAGATGATCTATATTAACTGTCTCCAGCAATCTTGATTTACAACCATTAGTTCTCCGTCAGGAAGCAACTAAAAGCATAAGGGGAACATGGATAAATTTGAAAAGTAACGATAGAAACACAATAGTAGGAAAATCGTGTGTCTATTGACTGCTGTTGAAGATCGGTGGAGTCACTGTTAACTATAATGATTTCAACCTGGTACCGGATCAACATGGAGGGGGAAACGATAGATAATAGTGTAGTAAGTAGCGTGAAATAAATAGAAATCCATCACTCGTTAGTGGAATTAAGACAATAAATAAACGGAATTTGGATCGAAAGCTAAATTAGCTCACGGATTTTATTTCGCTTACTTTAAACAAAGAAACTGAAACTTTCGAAATACACCATCCAATCGAAGAGGTGAAAGAAAGATAAGAGATGGAGATTAGTCTCTAAAATCATATTTGTTCACCAGCATTATCACCTAAATGAACAAAATATTTGTACAAGACAGTTAAGGATCGAGGCTCAATCTTGTACAGGTATCCATATCTATCCCGAAACAGCGAAAGACCACTGCAATACCTAAGATAACGCATGAATTTGAATGCAATCAAAAGCTGTGAAAAAAGCAATTTAGACCATACGTTGTTTTTATGACTACCAATAATACTACATGACGTGAGGAGGGCAATCAATTATCGGGCAATTCTGAACTATATAAAGCTGATTAGGAAAAACACAAGTTGGATGAGCAACTAACTCATCACATGTTAGCAAGATAAATCTGTGGGGTTTGTATAATGTGTAGACCATTGTTACCCATATTTTCGCACAACTGAATAGGTTACGTGTTAATGTTTCGGTTGTAAGTTGATACACTCCTTAATAAAGCAGACAGAGAAAGTGAATAAACATAGGATACTTTCACGATAAGAGTGGCAATAAGGAAATAATTAAGTAAAAAGATGAGTCAGAATGTTAAAACTTTGGTGATAAAGTGTGAGCATGTTTGAGTGAATGTTGTATATTTCGAGTAAATCCACTGCACCTCCAGGTGGTTTCCAATAACTCTATATGAGCACAGCTTACGACATAAATGAGAAATGAGCTGTTATGAAAAGATAGGAATTACTGGATAAAACAAACGAAGATTCACTGGTTTATGTGACTTCGACAGATACATTTGGTCATCCTCAGATGCTGATTATTGTCGATCGAATGGAAAGATACGGTTATTATTGTTTCAAGTAGTGGAATTTATGGTTCATTATCTCAAGAAATCATTAAACACCACTTTTCTCTGTTTATTCAACAGTAATTAGATTCACAGTCAGCACAGTAATTACCATAAAGGATTTATGGAATAGAAAACTGAGGAAAAAATTCATAATGGGTTGAAGTGTTCCTTACTGTCAGATATAAAAGCTGCGTCATTCATTTCATTATCAAGCTATGAAGTCTAGTACTAGCTAGTACTAGATTACAACATGGATATATTTCAAATTTGGCTTTAATCATTTGAATGTCCAGAAATGCGGATAATAACCCTTCCCTCTGTACGTGCTTTGGAACGTACATGTAGATAAAAAACTGCAGGTGGATTACACTATTGCAAGCTACATCTAGTGATGTATAACCTTATGGATAATAAACTTACATACCACGAGCAATATCTTTTATGAGTTGACTGATTGACTTTACATTGTTAATATTGACGAATATAAAAATTAATAAATAATTGCATAGGAAATAATCAACCACAAAACATTTATGATTCATGAATGACACCCTTGCATCTATACACATTAAGAGAGTGGAACAAGTTTTTAGAAATGCTGTCGTTTACGACATGCAACTACATATATAACATACAGGAGCCAAGGAAATTCGAGAGAAATTGTAATGATTAATACGTCACTACTTCTACTGCTTAGTTGCATAAAATTAATGACTTACCACTTGATTAGGCCAACGAACGATCACTGGTTGGACTGGCACCCCGGCATTGAAAGCACCTAGAAAATATGAACTTTGAGGTGAATCGTCAGTAACTCAAAATCGATAGCGACACATCTTAAAGAAGAAATTAATCAAACAGAATAAGAGCTTTCATTTTATTGCAAGAGATCAGATAGGAGCGTGCAAATAAGATAGAATGATGGTTAGATTTGCTATCATCAGTTAACATTAAATTCAAACTTACGAACTTAGTACAATAATGGCATCATGAGACTCACCACACAAAAATAAAAAAACGAGACTATGGGATAAATAAGAAATCATAATGGGAAGGAAGTAGGTATACTTATCAAGAGTATTAAAGTAAGGCACCACCACATCATGCCACTTTCAGAAGGAGGAGTAAATCGCAGCATATTAGCCATTGGTTACAGTGGTCGGCCAAATCACATAACGCTTTTAGCCACCACATCCAATTTTCTCGCATTCACTTGGGTAGGATATCTGCGGGAAATAGCTATCTTAGACGCACTTAAAACCAGTGAAAACGCTTTGTGCATTAAAATCAAATAAGTTGTATTGATGTACCGACGATTAGAGAACTACGATCACAAGATTCCTGAAAATGTGATTGTGACAATGAATCTATGTTATTAGTAGTACACAGACAAAGTAAACTGTAAATAAAGTGCAAGGTACTCTATCATGTATCATTTACAGAAAGTATTATACACAACGACCAAACTAAATACAACAGAAAAATATTTGACCCACTACTTGGATTTATGTGACCTGACTTACCTGCCTTAAACGAAGCAATACAACTACGGTTTGTACAAGTTCCTTCAGGAAAAATAACTATTTGAGGCCAATCGTCTTTCGACTTCGCACGACGATTAAGTTCTTGAATAGCTTTCTTACGAGAATCAGGATCCTCTCTGTCTACTAAGACAGGCTGGAGAACCTTGAAAAATCCACCAACAAACGATTCCGCGGACTCAGTTTTTCCAACGACTGAGGGCATACCGAGGGCAACGACCACAAGTGAATCAAAAAATGATGAATGAGGTGCAACAACTAGGATAGGTGCTTCTTTACGGGACGCACGTGTTCCTCTAAACGTAATCCAGTGGAAGCCACCGAGGAAAAATACGAACCGAGCGAACAAAACAACGATAGGTAACAGGAGCCATCTAAGGGTAAATTACTCATCAACAATATATACCTTCTGAAGTCACATACTGGCTTCAATTGAGATTTCACATCGTAGCCCAATGTGAAAAGATTCGAAAGCAACAAGGTGACGATGAACAAAGAGCCTACTGCAACGGCCCGGAATGGGAGTATAATGACGGTTAATAAATACATCTGAATTAGAACGAATTTATCAAATACTTTTTACTTTAATATACTGCAACCTTGATATTTCACATTGATAAGTAAATGGAGTTAAAATATGTCCGCTGAACTCGGTATCATACTTGAAGTCTGAAGTTTTCCTCTCAGAAACTGCCTCAAGCGCATCACTTTCGCAACCAATCGGGGAATCCATCGGATTTCGACACTCGTCCACTTTAGAGGAGCAAAACCCCGCTCTAAAGTAAACCCTTCGTATGTGATGAAGTAAAACACGCACAGTATCCAATATTTGGAAGAATGCCTTTTATAGTTTGGCGTGTATGTAAACTTTTTCAAGATTATTAAATAAAAATAAAAAACTTAGAAAAATGCCTTTACATGTTCTAGTATCCGATGTGAAAGTACGATAAGTTTCCCTGCTATTTTTCAATGTCTGTTCTCATTCCATTTCGCTCCATAGTAGTCAACATTTTAGTAACATCATGTATCGTTTCTGATCGATTAATTAAGGCGAACATTCTACCAGGGAAATACCAGGCGTTTATTCTTCTTAGGTGGTTTTCGTGTGAATATTCGGAGACAATGAACGCTGCATTTCTACATATGGCTACTGAAAATATAGAATCACTAGCACAGGGATAGCATAAATTGAATTAAATGCTCAGTACAAAATGTCTTGTCTCTGTTGCGATGCGTACATGCGTATACTAAATAAAATCGGTAGGTGAGACATCCCGTAGTAAACCAGAACTGATATCTGATCATGGCAAGGGCCACTCGTTTAAACAGGATTTCACGGAGCAGAATGACGTCTGGAAGGCATGACTGTTGCTTCGAAAGCTTTGTACAGCATTTTAATCTGGTATGGACCTACGGACCAAGATTCTTACTTAACAATCACAGGTCCAAATTTAAGGCTAACTGAAGTAAGTAATGACTAAACACTGGGATTTCCACACAAATATGTGTATATAAAAGGAAAGCGAAAACAATGGTCATCACACTCATAGTGTTATACAGCAATATTTACTGATGACGTTTCGAGCAAAATTTATTGCTCATAATCATATCATGGTACTCACACAACTTTATAACTTCGTTTATATAATTCCATTATTCTTCATATTTCAAATGGAAAATACGTTGATATAACTATCAGCAGTAAATTTTGATTGCGTCGTCACTAATAAATATTACCGTATAACACTGTGAGACTTTGTCAAAATAAATTTTACTCATAATGGAATTATACTCTACCACAGTGCCCAAGTTCTTTCCTTATATCGAGTAATAGCCATTGTGGCAACATGCGATTCCCAGCAGTGCAAGACTACAGATAGCCAAACATGACCATTTAACTTACTAAAGTGTTAAAATAAAGCAATAATAAATATGTAATTTTAACTAACTTGCAGTGAGACAGACAACTGGTTTCATACAGAAATCTGATGCACCCCGAAACTCTTGAGATACCGTAATTTGAGGAGCCCTGCTTTTCGTTCAGATCTTGTAATATATCTTTTGGTTTTTGACCTACTGGTCATGAAACGATAGAACAGTGATACTGAGGCTGCTGCAATTCCCAGAAGACTAATAGATGCAATTAAATGTACGGTGAACGGCAAGAAACTCGGGAACACAAGATGAAAAATTGGCAACTTGCTGATTATTTATTGTTCCACTGAAATAAACCAGTACAATGGGATGTTTACAACCCGAATGATTACACTAAAAAAGTTTACTGCTTCAAAGTCCATCAATTAACTACAGTATAGTTCACAATAATAATTTTGATAGTAACGTTTCAATCTTCTGCTGAACAACAAGCAACTAGACTACAGTAGTAATTGTAACTTCAAACAGAAAGTAAACAAGGTTGAATATGTCAGGTTACTGGATATTCAGTCATTATTAGCAGCACTGTCAACTTCTCCTTTCCTTTCTTCCCTGAAAAGACTGCAGCGCTATAAAAGACGTCAGCTGCTACAGTAATATCATCCCTTAACATTAACTTGTCGCTCAACCTCTTCTATACAACATGGTATACTTCGTGTGGTGAATGGTGCCATTTTCCGACCACTCACTGGGATTTCACGCCTCACCTTATCAAAATAACCATAGGAGTCTTCTTCTCCGGTGAGGAGATGAGCGTATTCTCTAGCATCGTTACATTCAATATTTTCGATGCCACCGTTCCCACCATCTTGGTGTACTCATACATGCTCATAGTTTCATGCTTCATTATCACAGCCTCTTCCTGAGTGATAATTATTACACGGACATCTTGAGAAAAAATATGCCCCAACTATTGTCTGCCGCAACTCGGATACAACAGTGAACAGGAGAGTTACTTTACGCTCCCCAGTGTGAACGCTGCAGTTAGACACTCGCCCCCTAACGTTTGAATTATCAGTGAACGCATTCTGAAGTACCGAAATAGATTAGCGAAACTTCTGCCCCTGTATCTGTTTGACTTATGACTTCCTCGACATTCACTTGCAAATTAGAATACCTGACCCCCCTCTCGACTGCTCCACTGTCGGACAAAAAGAACACGTTATACTTTCGCAGTATCTTTCTTCTTAGTCTTTGTAGGTACTATTTTCTCCAGCGTTCTATTTATCATTTGTCTCTTCTGTCACTCATTAGTAGTGCTACTGCTTCAGCCTGCAAATTTTCCATTTTCTGGGTCCACTGGTTCGATTTCGATTGCTTTGTAGTGACATCAGTTGTGTTCGGTATATATCATGTTACTTTGGCTAGCTGACCGATGTCAGTAGTTTGTGTAGACTTGACCAGTTTCAACTGCTGTGAAATATCGTCTGAAACACTGTCGACAAGTTGAGAAGTCAACCACAGCATCCTTTGATATTCATCAAAGGTAGCAAGCTCTCGACCGAGCAGACATTTTGGCTTCACCACTAAGGAGAGGACCTCCGTCTGCTCTCACCCCTATAGTATGGGACTTCCTTATTACCTTGTGTCAATTCCTTGGGCTGTTGAACTCCGCCATCGAACGTTACACCAATAATTCCAACGTGGGTGCAGATATACGTTATCGCGCTTTAAATTTTCCGCGCTTCAAGTTTTCTCGTCTTTCATTGGCTAGAACAGCGGCGGTTAGTTTCATATTTGATTGTTCCTACGTGGGTGATGTCGTGTGCAGCTTTGTGTGGTTGCGTCATCAGTTGTTTGCAAGCAGAATGTAACAGCTACAGTAAAGAATAGACACCAACTTCACACGACTCTGAAACAGGCAATCAAATTCTTCTAGGTGAGAAGCGGTACTCAATTTACAAAGAAGTGTATCTTTTAATTGCATATTTTCCCCTTAATCAGCAGAATTTCCCCCGTTTACTCGCATCTTTTTTCCCTTAACCCCAAACAACTCACAATTCAAATAAAGGTTCGTTATGGAAATAAATATATTTAATTTGTGTATTGGTTAAAGGAAAAAAAGCAACAATTCGGCAAATGAATTCTTAAGGATTAATGAACATTTAGAGTTACAAATGACACACAAAAGTAATAATAATTATATATTCTCCTTTTTTACATGAGGGGCGCCAGTTTACAATCATCAATGGATCACATCAAGAAATATAGAAATATTGTCTTCGCGTTAAAAAAACCCAAGTATGTTTTGGATAGATTACAAATACTTGGGGAAAAAATAAAGCTTGAAGTTATATGAAGTCTAAATGCAGCTTTACGTCTGCTCCCCGTCATCAAGTGGACCCATTGAAATATCCTGAAAAGGAAAAAAATTAGTGAGCAAGGTAGTAATCAACGTTGACACTTATACAGACATTTGATATAATGATATACTAAACGTGTTTATTCAGCTTTAAAAATTTACTTAATTATTGAGTACAAATCAAATTATTTGTTTATATATAAATGCTCACACTGAAAGACTTTAAGTGTGAGTATTTTTTAATGTTGAATTTGACAATAAACATACAATAATAATTGAGTCATTATAGACAACCCATGTACTGCTGAACCAACTGCCCAGCTAAACACCTAGTCCATATAATTAACAGCACTAGTTATCATAACGTTGACAATTACACGCTACTTACTGGCAGTTGCATTATACATTTTTGCAGCATTCATTTAATTAAATTGTCACTTACAGCACAGATGCTCCGGTCACTCTTCTTATTGTCAACAGCAACCTTTGGAAAGTAAAAATAAATTGCGTTGATTGACATTCATACAGTGAAACGGTTTGTAGTATATTAACTGAACGCAATGGAGACGCACGGCTGAAGCCCTATGTTCCTCTAGGAATTAAAGGAAACAATAATAATATAATATTAACTTTAATTGAACAAAAACTGTCTACTTACTCTTGGCCGGCTGCCCCTTTTTTCGACACGATTACGTACATCGTGGAAGTGGGCCTTAGCAGTGTCTCTCAAAGTTTTCACAACTTCTTCCTCACCCATCGTAGCAGAAGCGAACTTGCTGACAATGACGGCTGAAGGAAATGTTTAAATAAAGCAAGCTTACACGTTATAACTTTATAGAAGTAGCACTTTGTGAGGGCTAGCTTCTTCGGTGTTCCGCACGCTGTGAAGCGACTTGATAGCTTAGGCTCCCATATGTAATTCAGCATTCGTCTCAACGAAGACTGCGGATTGAATGATGAATGCCCAACCAGTTTCTTCATCTGAACGTGATCATAGGTTAATTGTAAACTTACGAATGAATTTCTGAATTTTGAGCTTTTCAGTGACGCTTCCAGTTGGTTAAACTCTCCTTCGGTCGCCAAGGGGAATTCCAGTTGACTAATGTCAGTAGACGACTTCCCGGTTTCCAAGGTGTTCACGTCGCCCGACTTATTTACTAAGACCAACTGCCTC